AGTTAAACTTATTTGGAAATGATATTTAACTTTGGCCTGACGTTTCGGATGCTTTGCAGCAGCCGTCTGCCCATGACCACGGCGCGTTTTAAACCGTTAAAGTGTTTTATTTAAATAAGCTATGTACCTGTTTTCATCAAACTTAAATAAATATCTAGTTACAAAGACATATAAATCAAATGGTCGCTCTTCCTAAAAAAAAGTATAATTTGAGGAAGATAACGCCTAGTACTTTATGATAACTCGTCTTCATTCATTGATTGGAATTAAATTTATTATCATATTAAATCCTGGAACATCACTTATCTAGAAAAAATCTCCCATGAGCATAATAAGGAACTAGTAATGTTAGTTATTGCTAGTCTGTTACATGTCGGAATGTAATTTATGTCACTCAGGGGACTTCTTACTAAAATTTTGAATTAGATATCGTTAAATTAAATGCGTCCGTTGACCGCTGTCTGTCAGCCCAATAGTTAAATGTGTTGCTTAAAATACTTAAAGTACGTCGTTCGATACCCGGAAATTAACACATGACCTATGTGACTTATTTTTAAAATGTTCTTTATATTATTTTGTGGATGTTAGTATTTTTGAAGTCTGATACATAAATATTGTAATATATCAAAAATCCAACGTTTAAATTGCGCGCTTAAACGCTAATTTTGCGAAATAATGCTGCAATACGGCTAGTGACGTCACGACCTTATATTGGCCACTGGTGTATGTCGATCATAATATGCACATCTATTTGTATCAAACATTATATTTTAACAGTGGTTGGAGTAAAAAATTCAGGTACAAATTGATTTATTCCTTAAAGCAGAAAACAGAACTGTTTTAGCACTATGAAGCACGGTATTTAATAACACCGTTTATAAGCAAGTGACGTCGTCATAAACCCGACCAATCAGGAGCGTTTTGTGTCATGTGACAAATCTTTAAAAAGTATTTTTTTATTTGCCGCTGTTTTATTAACTAACTGCTTTACTATTTCCAAACTTATACAACATACCGGTAACAGTATTTGACGCAATCTTTTTCGCATTGTCAAAGAGCCCATTGTTTCGGCCGGGCAGGACACAGGTCTAATCAATTTATTGAAAGTCGTATTTTGATAATAAAAAGTCTGCTCTTAGTCGAGGAACGTCGACGACAATTTCTTAATTACGACGGCCGAACAGCTCAAAAATTAAGAAGCATTACAAAATGGCCACGAAAGTCTTATACAACCTTTATTATTTATAGCATACACTAGTGTGCACAGTAGGTACATTTTTGTGCTCTACGCGATCGAAACAGTTTATTCTACTTCCCAAGAATTGATGTACCCATACGCAGCTCTCTACAATATAAGAGACAATAAATCAGTGAATTCGGTTCAATATATCGTCAGATAGAAGTAATTAAATTAATGTTTAAAATAATTAAAACAGCTCGAACATTTCACGTGAAATGAATGTGCATGTTTTAAATCTATTTCATCGTAAAATGAAACTCGATGAAAATGCTCATAAAACTAGCCCATTATTTACATAAATGCATTATTGTACTGTCGTGAGGTTTATTGAAAGCAAATTATACACTGCAGGTTAGGGTTGTCACAAAATAATATTACCTACCTACGCAAAATTGTATTTCGTTATTTTAATTTATACAAAAAAATGTTAGCTTCTCTGAGATTTGAACCTAAAGGCTTTTTTGTTGTAGATCTTACCAATTAAACTACCGAGTCCCATCTATTCTCATCAAATTGTTGAACCCATTTGTACCTATTTCAACCTGATACGTTGAGTCATTTAGGTGTTATGTTAGTGGTGAGTTCAAGTCTCGTTCGCGTCTCGGCAATTTTTAATCGCAATAGTTATTTTACAACATGGTAATGCAGCTTGAGAGCTTATTCAAATTAAATGTGTAGATTAAAAAGTAATATAAAAGAAATAAAGTTTTTTTTTTATAAAAGTTGCCAACCCTAACATAAAAGTGCAATTTATGAAATTACGTCGTATTATATTCACTGAAAGCTTAGTTATACTTTAATTGACAGCTACTTGAATTCTATATGAGAAAATTGTGTTTTCAAAAGGGAAACTACACGTCTCACTACTCAACATATTTGACATATACTACAATTAAATATAATTGAATAAGCTCTTTTTGTATTGTACTAGTATTATATCAACAGCGGAAATCTGTCGTTTGACATTGGCCTCCAGTAAAAGCTTCCAATGATTTCAGCATATTGTTTTTCGGGGTCTTCGGCCGACGTAAGCGAGGAGCGGAGAGCCTTCTCGCTTACGTCGACGTTGGCCGTGAAAGCCTTACACAATTTATTCCACTGATGTGTTGTTCTATTTGTAATTCACAGCTTTCTTTAGTTTTCTCCATTTCATATGAAATTTTTGAAATCTATCGGGTTATAAATTTACGAATTCTGAAAACGAGATTAATAAAAAACACTAAATACGCCTTAAAGAATCTTGTGATTTAAACAAAACACTTTTAATGGTTTAAAACGCAATATTTATCACGCAAATGTATTTCATATTGTGTAGTTGAAATAATTTAATTTATTCCATATTTGAAAGCGTAAAAGTGTTTATTTATTTGTACTACTTGCGTAACTACTACAGACAATTTAAATATTTTTTAAATCTCAATTGAAGTATCAATTAATAAAAATAAATTCTACCCACTGTGACTAATAGGAGCGAAGACACAGCGGGAAATGTGGAAAAAACGGGAAAGAAAAAATTAAACTCTTTGATTACCCGAAGCTTAGGTACGCTGCAAAACCGCTCTAGATACAAAAAAAATATTTTATTCAGTACAAATAATCATTTAAAGAAGAATAATTCTTTTTTTTTTAGATTAAAAAAAATCCGCGATACTATATGTCTATCTTTTAAGATTAACCTGCAAGAACGACGGAACTCGTCTGACATAGACAATCTAAAATAGCTTAAATTTATAAAAATGAAATGGGGTTTTCCAAAATCAAATTTAGATGCCAAAAATTAAAATAAAACACTATAACGGTTTAAAACGCGATATATTAGTTAAACTTATTTGAAAATGATTTTTAACTTCGGCCCGACGTTTCGGATGCTTTGCAGCAGCCGTGGTCACGGGGAGACTAAAGATGGAGGATGTCTCTGACGTCAAAATAAAAAATTGCTACGCTAGCGCCATCTGTTCCGTCGAAGTTGGTATTTGGCGAAACTGGCCGGGCCCTTACAGAATTGACTAACGGTGTCTTCGCGTTTGCCGGTATGCTGTTTATTGGGATCCAGAGTTTTTAATATGGGATCCCAGGTGTTTGATAATTTGAGGCCGTCCTCCATATTGAAATTTCGGTGTTATTTGATTTCAATTGCTTCGCGTACCAATCTTGGAAAAATCGACTCTCCTTTGCGAGGATTTTTGGCTGGTCAAAGCGAATGTAATGATTGGGCCCTTCCAATGAGTGTTGGCATACCGATACGAATCCCTGACGTGAGCATTTGTATTTCTATGTTAATATGTGTACTACTCGCGTAAACTATAGACAGTATTCAAAATTACTATTCTAAGCGGACGAAGTCGCTGACACAGCTAGTTATAGATAAAATGTCTTGTACTGAATTGAACAATTTAAAATCGTGCCACGTAATTAAAATCAAACCCGTGGCCGTAACCGCCTTTTGAAATAATGAATAATTAATATCATAATTAAAATAATGTTGGAGTTTCGATCTGTTCAATTGAATTGTGCGGTGGCATTTTAATAAATGCTCTGTTTTTGAATTATCGCTTCAGATAGGTCAATTAATTGTGCCACTGTGTACAATCATATTATTCGCGCATAATAAATGGTACAGATACGCGAGGCAGATACAGTTTCCCTTCTTGTCCGGACTTATTGCGTTTTTCACAGTTAATTCATTGTACGAACGTACTTTACGAAAACTATTAAGAAACGCGAATATATTAGTTAACTTATTTCTAATTTAGTTTAACTGTGGTCCGACGTTTCGGATCTCTTAACGCAACTTGGGACCCACTGATCACGGTTCTAATGTACATATTTCACGTTAGAACTAAAAAATATTACCGTAGCTAAATCGATAAACACGTGGTCTAGTATAGGTTGTGCGAGGGGTCCTGGTTTCCAGTCCCAGGGAAGCAAAACTTATTTTGTTCCGACAGAGTTTGGTTGTACCGACTACTTGCCAAAGGGGTGATTCACCCCGATTGAATAGTCATTCTGTCTTTCTTTCAAATAATAATAATAAAGTATTTTTTCAGGAATTTTTACATTAAACTGTTTTTGAGCTCTTCCATATCATTTAATAATACATTATTCCGTATCCCTAAATAATTGGACATGTTTTTTTTTATAATATCGATGTGTGTGTGTGTGTGTATAAGTATGTGAGTTGATGTGATGTGTGACTTGATGTGTATGGGTGTGTGAGAAAGTGATTGATGATGAGGATGTATGATGATTTAACTGGGATTCTTCAATACATCCTCTAGCTGATTATAGCTTACACTTTTTAACCATTTGCTAGCTAATATCTTAACTTCTCGAAGCGTGAGTGGATATATATTTAGAAGCATATTTAATTTGTTGTATAAATAAACGGATTGCACACAGTAGTTACGACCACCAAAAGCTGTTTTAACTGCAATCTTGTCGGCAATATATCATTCCTTTTCTTTTTTTAAATATATTTATTAAAAAATTAGAGTATGGTGTTTTTTAAGGATTGTATTTAAAACAAACAAAATGTTATGTCATTAGTTAATTCGAAAGAAGGGTAGTTAAGTTTTTGTGATTTAATATAATGTAGAAGTGAAACCCGTTAATACTTTTACTGCTCTTTTTTATCTCGTGGTCTCTAAAAATTATATCAACTGACTAGTTCCTAGAATAAGACAATATCAACAAAACATGACAGCTTTATTCATAGTATAATTTACGCGCATGAAATAAAACACATTATAAATAATCATCTTTATTGTCCACATTTACAACCACATACCTTACAACCACAGTTACAAATCGCAGGCCACAAAACGTAACTATTCTTACTATTGAGCACAACCGCGTACGGATCGTATGCCGTATATCGTCCATTTACAATCATGGGCTCTCCGAAAAACCTTTTAACATAATCCTTAGCTATATTATAACCGTCGTCTATGCTCATATCTCTTACTACCGGCATAAAATTAACCACAGGCATATCTTTAACATTAATAATTAATTTCGCATTTAGCGTTTTAACTTTAGACTTCCAGACAATCAAATCGATTTTTGGATTATCAGTTTTAATCATGTATCTGTTTTTATCGTCGTATTTCGCTACAGCTATATCACCTAAATCAATCTTTATTGTATCCTGCGCATGCACATTTGGATCATTGAAATTATCATCGAAATATTTTGTAGGTAGCGCTGTCGGTATTGCATTGTTAAGTTTACTTTTGAATATTTCTTTGATATTATTAATTGTTAGTTTTGGAATATTTTCTTTATATTTCGCACTACTATAATCACATATCGATGGATTGAATGTATCTTCGTTTACTTGTTTATTATATAACCCTGGTTTATTAGACATTATATGTATGCAAGGCTTGTTTGTACCTAGTGCCAAGTAAGAATTTAAATAATTGTTGTCATTATCAGTATTTGGAAAATTAACGTCGTAATAGTTGCTAGGTAAATACGATTCTTGTAGAGAATTGTAAGTTGACTTAGAATTTAAAGAAAATGGATTTAGATAATTGTCGATACTAGGATAATGAGCACTATATTTGCTTACTTGCTTAGGGTCAGTAAAAATTTTTGGTCCATTTGAAAGATAGTCAAATCTGGAAAGATTGATTGAATTTTGACATGTTTTCCTTAAATAATTATTGGAAACACTGGGTATTGTAGAATCTATTAATGCTGGTTGAGGGTACAGACTCATTGTTGGTTTGCCAGTCAAATCAAAACTATCTTGTATATAAGGATTTCTATTGTAGAAGGGCTTATAAGGTTTTACGGAATAAGCTTGTTCATAACATGGGTGTTGGTTTAAATGATGACCAGAACTTGGACCGAAATATGTGGAAGACTGAGGCTCATTGTCAACATCAATTGTTCCAATAACGTTTTGAAAACTTGGAGAGTATGGTATATTTTCTCCTAGACCAGAAAACGGGCATATTTTTGTACCTGCAATTTGATTTATTCTAGTATTATATGTGACACCTGGCTTATAGAAACTACTTTTTTCTTTTTCTGAATTGTATTTAAAAGGTAAATAATCTTGGCGGTTTCGTATTGGAAGCATACCCTGCCCATATTTGTAAACTAAAGGTTCAAATTGTGATAGATAATTGTCGCACGGGAGATTTGGATGTGAAGTTTTAAATGAAGCGAATTGACCTGGTTTACTATTGATGAGTGTATATAGATTTTTAATTGGCTTTCGTGAACTCTGATGGAATTTGTTAGCGTTTTGTTGTTTTAAAGTTTCGCTTCGAATATCTTTGTTTAAGATAATATTATATGATGTTGTGGTGTAGCTAGGTTTCTTAATATTGTAATTACATGGTTCTTCTAGTTGTGCATCAGCTATTGTGTTTTGTGAGTACGTACAAGGTATAGAAGGTTTTGCGACCATCAATGGAGATGTACTTAATTTCGGTTCCGTGATAAAATGAGATGATAGTGACGTCAAAGGACTTATATTTTCAGGTCTAGTGACATCAACAGTTGGTTTAAATAGCGTTGATTTACGATTTTGATATGATATTTCCTGTAACGAGGGATTTGGACTATAAATATAAGGATTATATGCAATATTATTGGAGTAGGATTGTGGATAACTTAAAGAACTAGGTACATACATAGATGTAAATGTGTTGTCTAAATTATCTGCGACCACATTACTCTTTATATCTTTTTTTGATTCGTGCCACTGTATTGGATTTAAGGCGTAAGGCGGAAAAAATGGTGTAAAACTTCCGTAGGATTCTCTAAGCTTATCCTTGCATATAAAATCATCTGCGAAAATACTTCTAGATATATCATTCCTGTTCCATAGTGCAAGCTTATTTTGCATATTTACTTTTGCGAGAGGACATATCGATTTTGGAATGTCTGTATCATATCTAACGGGTGTAGTTATTAAAGGTTGATTGATAAATGTATTATCTTTTTGTGGTATTATGTCCGTAATAGCTGGATTAAAATTAGGAGTACAAATTTTTGAGTTTACCATAAACGGTTTTGTGTAAGTGCTGTAAGGTAGATTTTGTCTAACTTTTAGAGGAGTGTTGTATGAGTACGCATTCTTTTGGGATACGCCTCTTTCTGTCTCTGACTGAGGTCTTTCAAGCTGAACACAAGGTTCATAGCTACGGAAACATGGTGTATTGGTTTGTTGTGGTAAATTTGTATTATGGTAGTTTGAAGGACTGCTGAAGCGAGGTAATTTTTGAGTGAAACTAGGTAAATAGTTATGACAAGGCTGTTGACTTAAGACGGTAGCTTTCCATCCTTGAAAGCTATTAGCTTGGACTTTATAAGGTAGATTTCCCATAATGGCGTGGCAAGGTTTGCCGATATAATTATGAAGTTCGTAAAGAGGATTTTGTTGGTATTCTATAGAAGGAGAATTGGATTGGAAATCAGCTAATATTTCATTATAACACGGTAAATGAGATTTCTGATCAGCATCACTCATATAAGGGGATATATTCAAACTATTAGGGATTTGATCATAAGACTGCGTTTGTTTGCTTTTAATGTTATTACTGACATTTATAGTAGGTAGATACATTTGGTTTTTACCAAAATCGTTGCTATAGCCTGAATATAATTGATGGTTAAAGGAATTTGGAAGCATCTTTTGCAAGCCCCATATTCTGGGCACTTCATAGGTATCAAAATAATTCGAATGGTATCTATTACTTTGTTGTATTGGTATCTTAGATTTATCGGATTGATAAGATGTTATGTAAGATTTTAGACTTGATCTAGGTATCGGGGAGTGAATATGACTCTTGTATAAGTCTTGGGTATTTGTTGAATAAGATTGATCATACGTCATCTGCGTAGGATAAAGAGAATATTTTAATTTATCAAATGTGCTGTCTGGTATTTGTAAAGACGATGGTTTACTTACTGGTATATATGAGTTAGGTGTAGCAATAATATTTTTGGCTGTACAGATAGGAACAGTGTGCACATTTCTCTGACAGGGTATTTTATTACACACGTGAAAGGGATTTTTCGGTTTATACATATTCGTTTTATCCGACATAACTGAATAAGAAGCTTTAGTGTATGAGGACTTAGTATCGGGTTTGAGTAATACATTTCTTTCATTAACATAAGGATTTATACGATAGCGTGATGGATTATTCTGGGAGTATTGAATCGAAGGGCACGGTTTTTTATGCTCAAACTTATTTTCAAGAGCATATGGTGTTTTATATGCTAGGCTTAAATAATTTGCGTTCAATTCTTTTTTTAGTGCTTTTGTCCGTCTGTCCAGTCCATATTTGAGGAATATAATTAGTATTCGCATCGATTTGTTTATGTTCTTTAATTGAAGATTTTGGTTTTATTGTCGCGACTGATCCTTGAGAGAAAATGTAATTTGATTCAGTATAAGTAGGCCTTTTATTTACGGCGTACGATATAGATTTTTCAGTTTGATCTTCAGTAAATGAGCAAGGGCAGATCGATTTTGACATTGATGGTTTATTTATCTTATTTGTTGAAATGACATACTTGTGGCCATTATCATAGGGATTATTTAAGTTTTTATTAGCTGCTAACAAATTAAAAGTTTGTTGGTTACTCACAGATTGAATTCTAGGTAATATGTCTGATGTATAATATTGCTTGCTAGTTCTATACCCATTTTCATAATTGTTATACATTGTAAATGGGTTTGAAACATATTTCTCATTATTAATTTGAACGGAAGGATTTTCATGACGCAAGTCTTTCGAGAAATCATTTTGTAAGTGGGATTTTTCATAAAATTTTTTGAAGCTACCATTGGGTACATAACTGTTATATGATGCGTATTTATTCCAAATATTTCGACATGGTTGTTGGGAAACATATAGACTCGGGTGATAATAATTGTTATAATAGGCATATTTTGTATTTTTATCAATTGTTGGTTTGTACAGATTACTTTGGTGATTACGATTTTGAGAATTTGATTGATATAGACTTGTTGGGTGATATATATGCATGCATGGTTTATATAGGTTATTTTGATGATGGTGGTGTATATGCGGGTACAGTGAATTAGAAACTGGTTTTTCTTCTAACGGAATGCTATCCAAATTATTTATCTGAGATTGATATTGTTTTTGGTAATCACCACCATATGATGATTTATGTAAATTCCTAAACATATTCTTCTGTTGAGAATTATTATCGTAAATTCCCTCATATTGTGAATAATATGCTTGTCCTTGATGTAAGTCATTTAAATCATGTTTTGCTTTCATTACTTGATGATTGTAGTTCTTCGAACAAGGTTGTGATTGTAACCTGAAAGGTTTTCTTCCATAGTTTCCCTTGTAATCTGATAAATAATTATTAGAATAGGGAGGACCACGAAAGGAATACCTGTGTTTGTCAATTTCAGGAAGATCACTTTCAAAACGGTCACGTAAATTTCCAACAAAACTTTCACTCGTTCGAAGAGGCTGCGTTTTTAAATCACTAAGTGCTTGTTTTCTTTGATTCATGTGAGCGAGATTAATATCGATATTATTTGGCCAAGGAGGATTTTTAATAGAATATTCATTATAGCCATAAGTCTTTCCTCCTAAATATGGGATGGAATTAAGTTTATTTTTTCTAAATGAGTAAGAGTCTGGTATATAATAATTGCTACATGGAATTTTCAAATCAGTATTGTCCATAGTATCACTCTTCTCACAAATAGTTGAGTAGGGTTCGTCTAGATGATAGGTCAAATGAAAATGTCCCTTAGGCCAATAAACCGTTCTATGCGTGTGATCGTTCGGCTGTTCACCTAAATGTGTATGACATGGCAAGTCTTGCATTGTATATTCTCCTTTATTCGTTACAGTATTTTTATTTACTAAGGTTGGTTTTTCTGTATCTAGTACATCAGAGCTAGAATAATAAGGAATAAATTCCTTGATATTTGTATCCATACCATCTCTTAGTTCATTTTTCAATGTTGATCCGTCATAATCCTCTCTTATTGGGTATGTATTTTCGTGTGGAACATTTACTTGTGCACTATATGGCGCATATGAACCAATTTCTGTCTGAAGTGGTTCATTATCTATCGCATTACCATTTGATAGAGTTAATTCCTGTTTTGTTGATGTAGCTGGATATTCTATTAAAGTTCCATCGCTTTCACTTTGTGGTGAATTTTTATTTATTAGAGAACTTAGTTCATTTAAATTTGTATCTAACGCATAACCACGATTTGTGGCATCGCCTTTAAAGTAAGAAGATATGTGGGCATCTTTATACAAATGTCTTACAGGTTCAACTAGCTTGTTTCTAAAATTATCTTCTTGCCTAGGAAAACCATTTAAAATGTCAACATTTATATCCTTTCCTTTATAACTTGGGCTTTGGACATCAAATTCATTATAGCCAGTATTTTGGTTACTTAAAATTTCATTATTGTTTAGATTACTTTTAAAAATATCAACATTTATATCTTTTTGTTTATAATTGCTACAAGGAGCGTTAAATTCATATTCTTTATCTGTTTTACCTAAACCTCCAGTATCATAGAGTTGCGTCGGTAAGCTATCTATTCCAGCTCTATTATTAACATCGCTCATACCATATGTAGTTGGAGGTATTTTATAACCTGTTACAATGTTTTCTTCACCTTGCTTGTCTAAGTAGCTCTCTGGTTCTACTATATCAACGATTATATTATTTCCTTTATAGTTTTTACTATTAGGTACATTGAATTCATAAGCATCATTGTTCTTGTTAGTAATTACATCGTAATCATTATTATCGTTATACTTATCACCATCCATTCCCCCACTTATATAGTTAGTATCAAAAATTATATCTTTTTGTTTGTACTTTTCACCACCTGTTATATCAAACTCATAAATGCCAGTGTTCATAGCATCTGAATTCGAATTCTTGATGTTTAATCTAGTTTTATCATTTTGAATGACCTCAGTATCATCAATGATGTTCTTATGGACAGTAGGAAAAATATCATTCTGCTTGTTAGTGTGCTGTGAATCTAAGTCTTCTGTATCCAATTTACTATCGAAATCATTATAGTTTCCGACGTTTACCGTTTCAACGTTAATATCTTTACCTTTATAATGCTGTGTCTCCGGCACGTCAAATTCATAGTAGCCCTTATTTTTAGTGTAAATTCTATAATCATCTTCATCACTTATATTAATAGGATGGTCTTTATTTCGGCTTGCACCAACAAAACGCTTTCCTTTAGTACGTGATAGCACAATTAAGTTATCTACAAACTGTTCTATACTATTTATATCCGCTGTTTTATTTTCGTAAAAATAATGGGCGTATTTACACAATACCGATTTTAAACTGTCAAAAGACGTCGGAAAGCTGCTTATGTAACTAAATTTTTTATGTTTGTAGAAATAGAAATACACTGTAAGTTCATTTTTCACCTTGTTTTGGACGAGTTCGTTGATAAATTTGTAAAGCTTATCATCAGAGCCGGCTATGTAAACCTTCTTTGTCTGACTGCCTCCTAAAGTATCTTGTTCATCTACCTCACAGTCCGTTGTTTTTCGTACATCTGCATTAATCTGAAAGGTTATTCAATCTACAATAAGTGAAGTAGAGCATCAATAACCTAAAACAGTCGCTTACAGTATTTGCCTCGCCTGGGATTTAAATTAAATATGAAGTACTACCAAAAATACTAACAAAATTTGTAACAAAAATTGGACGAGTTGCACTTATAGCATTACAAGGTCAAGAAACACGGGCGTAGTTTTCAGTCAGTTGTTTTTATAAAATAATCATTAGTTGTTTACTTTGAAAACTTGATTATTTTTCACATGAAGGCACTATATAATTTAAAAATTGAAAATAAATTGATAAATTTGCGTTCCGAACGCTGACGATGCCGGTTCAAGTCCTGCCCGAGTCGAACATTTTTTACTTAATCATTAATTGCATTTTTAATGAATTTCGTTTATAATATTATTACTTTGCCCCTTTCTATCATTATTTGCACATACCTCGTCGAATTCTTCATTCTGCTCTGTCGATAAATATCCTTGAGCGATTGAATTGTGACATAGTAACACTGAAACGGAATTACAAATATAAAATATAATTTCTGATCTGTTTCATAGGAAAATTCGTTACGAAGTACCACCGAAGATTCCGCTTCGGTTTCAGCCAAAAGTTTTAGATTTATTTACTAAACTTATTGTACCTTAAAGCTCTAATAGGTTAAATACCGAAATATTTAAGCACACTTTTATAAAACACTAATTGTGTCATCCGCGTAGAATTGTTATTTTGGACATACGAATCATTTTTTAATATATATTTTTTGGTATCTTAAACCGTTTTCGCACGCGTACGCATCGGAAATTCATAATGATAAATAATTTTCCCCGTTTTTATACATTTCCCGCTGTTTCAAACATATAAGCAAACAAACTCCTCAGCTTTATTTATTAGTATAGATACAGATGCGAACAGCAGCCTCTTTGTGGTAAGTGCAAAATACCAGTCTGACAGGTTCTCGTGCCTTAGTGAATACGTTAAGACATCGGTTTCGATTATGACCACTAATTTTGTGGCGGTAGTCGTTAATGCTTGTCTACCCGCACTAGAGAGTGATTCTATTCTCTTAAAATTCTCCCATGAGCGAGGACACCTTTGCCTAGCAGGGGAACATTAATAGATTTTAACGAGAAATGGAAATTAAATCCGTGATAATTTGCATTGGTTGTTTGTTTTTTTTTTATCCCCTCCTTTAATAGGGCTTAAATGGAATTAATTCGTGTTAATGCGATCTAATCCTTTCTTAATCCCATAATTAATGAGAATAATACCTTGCCATTTACAATATTAAGATCTAACTTTTTGATTAAAAAGGCTCGCTTACTGTTTAAAAAAATAGAGTTTAGTGATACGAATTTTCTACAAATACTTACTACGGGCGACTTTTGTGGAATATTTAAGAGTATTCAATAGTTTTATTTAAGCCATGTTGAATATTAAAAGTGTCGTGTTGTTTTAAATATTCATGCAAATGGCGCTTAATACCGACGCGTTCAAAAGCGCGCGAAACGAAAACAAAATGGCGGACGGCGTTTTGCAATTGTAATTCGAGAATTGACAATTTTAAAACAGGGAATTACATTCGATCTCTGTGTTATGTTAAATTAAGATCTTTGTTAACTGGTTACATTAGCCCTTTTGTGTTGTAAACTGATTCCAACTAGCCTAACATTGTTTTCCGGGCTGGCGAAACGTCGAGAACCTCTTCTCGCTTACGTCGGCCGAACAGCCCGAAAAACAATGATATGCTGAACGATGGCCAACGACGCAAGTTCTTGCGGCTTTTTTTGCGTGTTGATCAAAAATAGCAACGCATACCTATGAGCTATTTTTTCGTTTTTCTTTGATAGAATAATAAATATATAATCTTTTAATATATAAGATATTAAATACTTACACAAAAGGACCCCGATTTCATATCTTTGTCGTTTTTTCATATCCGGTCCGGCGCAACCGAGTCATTTAGAGGTCACTTTTGTACTGAAAGAAATATGGTAGAAACAAGTATAAGCTATCGAGTATTTTTAATATACTATTATCGTATTATATAATAAGCTTTTAACTATAGCTTCTTTCGAATAATGGTTTTTAAAGTTTAAGGACATCAAACATTCATCATTCATAAAAGACGCCTTAAAAAAAAATTATTGGTGTTTTAAGATAGTAAATAGCTTTATGCTTACAATAAAGATCTAATTGTTTAGTTATAATATTTATAGAGCTAAAATCACTTACTCTCTAAGTACTTCATTACAAAATGCTATCACAAAAGATATTGAACAGAACTGTGAACAAAAAAAATATTAATATGTTTAAAAATAGATTATATATGGTCTAACAGTCTGCATTGGAGTTTAAATTAAATTTTCAATAATCAATTAGCCACGTGCGTATATTTTGAATTCCAATCGAAATCCATTTTATATGCTGATGTTCAATTCATTTTTAATTGAACCTGCTATCCTAGGCAATATCGTGAAATAACTAATCAAAATCAATATTTAATTAAAAATATTGTGTTTCCATATTTTAAAATAACTTAACTTAAAAATACTTATAATAACCTCATTTGAATTACACATCTATCTTATTCTTAGTGGCAGCTGTATTGCGTCAAAAGTTATCAAAATCAGTCCAGCTATTTGTGCCCAAAATAATGAGAAACTTTCATACATCCATAGATACGATTTTTACAATTTTGCTAGAGTATAATACTATGGGGATAATTAACTTCTTCCGAATCAATAGATCTTAATATTTTTTGTTCAGTTTTACATACAGACTGCTTATTACGGAAATACATGCAAACGTATACATTTATATAAATAGTAAAAAAGTCCAAAGCCAAATTTTCTACAGCCCATCTTGCTTAGATGTTATATCGCTGGAATATTTTACCTACCATCAAGTGATTGTCCTTCCTCTTATATATTATAGAAAAGTTATTTCATTATATAAAACAGATTATATTTTAATTATATATTATATGTACTAAGTAAAAAAGGTTTTTCTAAAACCTATTAAAAGTAGGGTCAGACCTGAACTTACGTTCACGCGCTACTGTAAAAATGCAAAGATGTCAACAATCGCGCATTTCGATAAAGTAACGCGTTACGCTATTTACTTAAAATTGAACGCCGTTTATATGAGACCAGAACCTTGTAGAGCTTTTTAAGAAAAATAAATAAAAAATATTTTATATATTTTAATAACACAGGGTAAAAAAAACTAATTTGCTTTTTATCTGTGGCATACATTTTTATTGTCTTAATAATTATGTTCTTTCTGTAGCAGTGTGTCAGCTATAGCTCCCGGTAGGTGTAGAATATTATGTAGTAGGGTAGGGTTTCTTTTCTCTGGCGATTTTTCCACTGGTTTTTCTTCTTTTATGTCTGAAACATCATAATGACAATTATAGACCATATACCATCTATGTTACGCCTACAAGTACGAATCGTCCTTATTATTATAATAATTAAGTATTATAATAAGCTAAGGTATTTTAAAATATGTCTACTTGTCGATGACAAAGATTAGGGTTTGAAAACTTTATTTTCCGCAATTTTATTTATTAAATAAAGCTTGCAATTATAATAATAAAGTCCATGATGAAATTTACGACTCGGGCAGAACTTGAACTCTAATCAATTTATAATCGATTTTTAATTTAATATTAAAGTGTTAAGGCACTGTCTTGGCTTGAATATTTCACTATGTATGTAAAGTAGACGTTTTTTATACTACTACTTTTCTACTATACCCTGGCATTTCTGGTCATAGTTAATTGTCAGTGTCAGTGGGGGGTAGACTGGTAAACCGTTGTTGCCAGCAATTTGCTGACTGCATTGTTGAGATACTGTGTCAACTGGACATGGCAAGTTACAATCCATGTACTGTGGCCTTGATAAGACTGAGATGACATCTGAAAGCACAATACATGTAAAACTTATGCTATGCTACAACTTTGACCTAGTTTTATTTCAAACAATTAATAGCTCGTTTAAATAAAACACGTAAACGGGATATATATTATTTAAAATTAATTTGAAAATTGTTTTCACTACGGCCCGACATTTTGGATGCTTTGCAGCAGCCGTGGTCACGGGTATCTATCACGTTTTAAACCGTTAAAAATAATGGCTTTAATTATGGGCTTTTTAAGAGTGTTACATTGAAATGTTATTTTCCTGTTTGGAGTTTTATATGAAAAGTCTAGTCGGATCACACCGAATTTTGACATTCATTTTGATTGTCATCATCATGTTAAGCCATAGATTACGACTGTCATCACTAATGAAGTACAGTTATGCCCTCTATCGGGCACTGAAGGAATTATTGGGTATTAGTTCTTAAGACTTCTCACCTAGACTTGTGTCCATTGGGGCATCAATAAGTAAAAACAAATGAATAATACTCACGGATTGATAGTAAAAAACATATTGGACGATACATATTTAATAATCCTTCTGTTTTCGATGTGTTTAAAAACGCAAATGTTGTAAAGTATATTAAAAACTGTAAGTTATGGTGAATTGATTAGTTTTGTTTAACTTTTTCGTTATTGTAATAGAAACAAGACATTTTTAAACATATCAGCTGGACATTATTGTGTTATTTGCAATCAAAACACTGACGGGCTCATTGGGTTAATGGTAGCAATGTAATGGCTAATGATCGATGTGCCGTAGGTTCGATCTCCATCATGTCCAACATGTTTTTAATTTTTCAACTTATAATTATTAAATGTAGGTCTATAGAAATTCCGTCCGGGTCACGAACTACCGGCCACAGACTAAAAAGCCGTGAAGCTTAATCGCATTTCGGTTACAGTTCGTGGATTTCCGAATATCCGAAGCCAAAATTGCAATAGGCTGGAGTATATCACCTACCATTAAGCGAACCCCATGCTATATCTGTCCTCCTCTACATTTAAAAAAAAAACGAACAAAAACCATACTTCGGCCCAATTTCGGTTTGAACTGTTACTTTTAACTAAGATAACATTACACTTCTAAGTTTTATTTTTAAATACCAGCCAGTTCGTCAATTTTTCCCTATCGATTACAAAAAACTAAAGCTAACATGGATAGATAATAATAAAAATATCCTGGCTAAATGAATGATGATACTTTCTAGACCAGGATTGTGTTTCATTAAAATAATAAACAATATTCGTTCAAGCATCTCTATTTAAATGATTATTACACAACATCTTTACTTAAAACTTAACTATAAAAACTATTTAAATACATAACTTCTTATATAATCCTGATTGATGCCGCCAATAAATGGTATATTTGGTAATAGCTTATATTGAAGTTTCACTTGACGCCTATCTGTGTCAATTCCGAACCGCACTGAAGAACCATTTAGCATTGTAACGAGACCTGAAAAGGATATATTATTATTTATTACTAGACGAAATCTTGGTATATAGTTACAATCTGTATGCTATTGTCTGACAGGTACGTTTAGTTACCTTGCTTAAGTATATACAACTACACATCTCTCACTACAAACTATGACATTTGATTTGATTTGCTCGTTGCGTCGTTCTAATAGAAGCAATGTATGGCTAATAAACAACGGGTCTTGGATTCGATCCCACAGGGTCTATGTCAATCAATTTATAATTTTTCTGAAACACGTTGGACGTCGTCTGTGGATCTTAGTATTAAATGTGTGGTAGGTCTGTCCACTGATGAAAAAGCCGTGAAGTTTGATCGCGATTTCAGTCCGTGGATTTCGTATATATAAAGCTATATTGTTGAGACGTTATATGGCTGCGGTTTTTCACCTTCCTTCAAGAGAACCCCATGGTTGTCTTTTCTCCGTAAAAAACAAAATTTGTAATTTTATCTCTAGCAGTCGCAGCGCTGTCATCCGGCCTTAAAATAGATTATTGCCTTCGTGGCTAATTACATTTACCAGTTTGTATCGGCGCAGCTGTTCATAGCAAGTCGATTTTATTTATTTATTTAGCAAAAGGAAACAAACAGATACATTACATAAGTGGCTAAGGAATAACAAAATAAAAATATAAGGTTGAATGCATCCTTAACAGTTTCACAAATAGTTAAATGTTATATACAATATGAAAAAACAAAACGTCGATAAAAATTACAAGAAATTAGACAAGTTTTTAATAAGAGTTTACAAACAAATAAAATTAATTATACGTTTAACTAAAAACTAACCAAAATTAACATGATTAAATTGAAAGACCTAAGGCGAGATAAGCAATCTTTCTAATGTTTTTTTGAATGAAGCAGTAGAGGAGTGCAAATCGATATCGGCAAAATAATCGAGGGAAGAACACAATCTGTGGAGTGGCGTGCGGAACCCGATATTGGTTCTAGGAGTAGGAAGGTTGAATGTTCTGTGCATACGTAAAGGCCTGGCTGGTACATTAAATGGTATAAGCTCGAGAAGTTCAGAGCAAGTCAATTCGTTGACACATATTTTTCTAAGCGTTACACAATCGATTAAGTGTCGTCTTTGGCTTAAGGAAAGTAAATTATATCACCTAAGGAGGTCATTGTAGTGCCTGCCAGAAGCACCGTTGAGGCGAAAATTAAGAAAGACATAAAAATGCTGTCTAACTAACTAAATACTAGCTGACCCGGCAAACGTTTTGCATATATTAAAATGTTAGGGAGGATAGCCCTTACCATTTAGGGATAGGAGAAAGACATAGTACCAATCCTCTGACCTACGGATATGCATTTAAAGGCCTAAAGACTCCCTCGATAAATGGTCTATCCAACACGAAAAGATTTTTGTATTTTAAACGAGTTCTTGAGAACAAACAAAGTTTCAAACTTTATAATATTAACTAGTTAGTTAATCTATAAATTATAAACAAAAACCACAGACTATTATCCACTTACCCAACAATAAAAAGAGGTATTTCAACATTTCTCTCGTGGTTAGGAAATTAGACCTAAAAAAGTAAAACTATTAGAAAATTAATATATTTTAATAATAAAATTTGGGGTTAAAATTGCAAGCAGTATCCTACCAACACAGTCTTGATAAATGTAAAAGTGAATTATTTTTTTATGTTGTAAAGTATTCACAAACGATTAGATGAGTCTATAGCGCCTAGAACCATCAACAAATAACTTTTTCACGGTATTCGAACGTACACTGCTTGTCAGTAACCAAAGTATCGCGTTATATGAAAGAGTGGGACGTGCACTAAAGTATATATGCCCCATACCCCATAGAACGAAGGCACACCTTTAAAATGAAATTACTACCTGATTCGCATCTTGTTATCGAGCTGCGTTTAATTCAGTTTTGATTCGTGATTCAAGTACCATTATAAATCACGGATTAATGATACATGCTTTACGAGCGCCATAGCGTAGTGGCGACACGAACGAAACAAAACAATATGAATTTGAAGATTCGCAACAATCTATTTAAAAACTTTAATATTTTTCACATGATGGCACTATATAATTGAAAAATCGAGAGTAAATTGAAAAAAAAAAATTTAAAAGAAAAGTTTAACTTTTTTTGTAATTCCGTGTTCAATGATTTTCTTAGGCTACAAAGCACAGGACATTGAATCTTAATTCGTAAGTGTTAAAGTTGAGATTGCATTGCGCGAGAGGTGCATTTATCAATATGTAGGAAGGCTGACGATGCCGGTTGATGTCCTGCCCGAGTCGTGTTTTTTTCATTTTATTTACGACATTTAAACAATCTATTGAGTAACTGCAAGTACATTTTAAGACCTGAAAGTTCAAATGTTCTTATTATAGGACAGTTAGTAAAATTATTTATCATAGTAGAAAGATAGGCGTGTTGGTTGAATCACCAATGGTAGCTAATGGCTAATGATCAACAGGTCGTGAATTCGATGCCCACTGGATTCAATATTATATAAACGAATAATTGAGAAAAATTATAAATTGAATTATTACGGCAATTTATACTTTTTCTGTTCGACGTCCTCTGGAAAATCTGGAAAAAATGTTCTTCGTCTCGATTTGAGTCAGTTAATTCCGAAACGCAAAAGCCAAAATAGGCGACAGCGCGTCGGACTTAAATGTCTCACTTTTCATCACAGGCTTCTCCTCCTATATCATAAAACTAATCAAACGTAATTTGTTCCAGGTAAGCACAATAACTGTAATGATTTGGTAAGTTTTCTCTTTTCTACCCCTGCTTGTGAGATCGGAAGTTCAAACCCCAACCGCACACCTGAAAACTATTGTTTTTTTAACATTCTGATACTTAGGAACCATCCAAAAGAATCCAATGTTGTAGATCAGGGATTATATTTCTTAAGTCTTTCGTTGGCACTAGTCTCAACAGTAAAAATGTGAGAAAGAGCTGACGTTTATAAATTGATGTTTTTAAAAATCCTTTCTATCATTTAAATAAAACAGTTTAACGGTTAAAACGCGATATATATTATTTATTAATTAAACTTTGAAAATTATTTTAACCTTGGATCGACGTTTGAGATGCTCTCCCCGTGACCACGGCTGCTGCAAAGCATCCGAAACGTCGGGCCGTAGTTAAAATTTACAAATAAGTATAACTAAAATATATCGCATTTAAACCGTTAAATTGTTTTATTTACATGTGAACTACTTGCGTAAATTACAGACAGTATCTTTTCTATCAGCTAATAAAACCTTACCATCGGCATAGCTGTTAGTTACAGCGATCTGCTACAATAAACCGATGGAAAAATAGTTAACTGTACGCCTAAACTTGATATACTTGGACGTAATTTGTAAGTTTTGACGTGGTTTAATTAGCGGCTTTGATTTAACCATATTTATAAAACATAGGATAAACAAATTTTAATTAAACTTTGCTCGTTAAAAAGCAATGAACCGTAAAAACCTCTTGATATAAAAATGTAAGGTCTGAATGAAGGTGAGCACATTTGGCATTCAACATGGTTGCAAAGATTACTCTGGTTTTGGTCGGTAAGTGACTGTTTTATATCTAACTTCTATCTTATATTATATGTTTGACGGCTTGGTTGGTGCGATCCCCACTTCAACGTGTTTCTAATATATACACCCTCTGAAACATGTTGGACTTCGTCTGGATATCTGGATATAAAATGGGTGGCAGGAATGTCGAAATTCCGTCGGTTCGTACCACAGTTCACAGATGAAAAGGCCGTCAAGTTTAATCGCCTTTCGGTTGAAATTTCCAAACATCCGTATATAGGCCAACAGCACATCTTTATTTTTTGCATGGATGGGGTATTTCGCCTACCATCAAATGAACCCCAGGCTTGTCTGTCCTCCTGTAAAAGACATTTATTTCTCCTTATTAAACATCACTACGTTTGGCAATAAGACTGAGTTATTTCACCTTCCGTCATAAAAAGTCTTCTAAATAATAACAGGAATATAAAATTCATTGTGCAACTAACAAACCTGATGTAATATTACAAAGCAAAACTGAAGAGTTGAGTTTTTGTTAGTTGAAAATATGACTTTGTTATGTTGTTTATTTAGTTCTAATTTGAGATAGCTAACGGCTATCTCGCTGCGACAGTTAGATCTCTTGTTTAAAAGATCTTGATGAAGGAGCGTTTTTCTTTCATATCCACTCAACTGTTTTTATACATTTGCACAAAACTTATGTCAATTTAACCCTTAGCTTCAAGTCGTACTTACTAACAAACAAAATATTACCTTTGGCTTAAAAACATTTTAGCATGACGGGCGTGTTGATGTACTGGTAGCAATGTATGGCTTATAACCAAAGGATCATGGCTTCGATCCTCACTGAATCTACCATTTTTCAAATCAATTTATTATTTTCTTTCTGAAGTAATAGTGTTCGTTCTTCGGATTCCGAATATCGGAATATCGGTCCACATTTTGTTTAGATGTTATATGACCCCAGCCATATAATATCCAAACATACATACATTTCACCTACCACGATTTTCTGTCCTCCCCAACATAAAAGACATTTATTTCTCACTTATGTTTGTTTTTGCAGCTACCTTCGCAATTGCCCACTCCACACCTATAGGGCAGACGATATGCGAGTCTCAGACAATACCGAGTTTTCTGCCCAAGGCGTTTCCATTTCTGCCCTTCGGCAGAATGCCGAGCACGACAGTATGCGAGTCATCTCCAAACTACGGCCTGGGACTGAACTCACTTCCATTTATGCTCCCACAGTTCAACCCCAGTACCACGGTCTGTGAAAGCTCCATGCCTCCGTCAACGACCATTTGTGAAAGTGCATCGTCCTTACCTTTGCCAAACATGTTCCCGAATATGCCGTCTACCACTGTTTGCGAATCGAATAATCCAATGGGCTTAGGCGGTTTGGGAGGTCTCGGATTGGGTGGTCTTGGCTTGGGCGGTCTAGGTTTGGGCGGTCTTGGTATGGGCGGTTTAGGTATGGGTTTGGGTGGATTAGGTTTGGGCGGCATGGGACTTCACCCATTAATGGGTGGTATGCATGGCATGGGTTGGGGTATGGGTGGTTTGGGCGGTTTAGGCGGTTTGGGAGGTCTTAGTAGCTTAGGCCTGGGAGGTCTGGGTGGTTTAGGTATGGGCTTGCCCATGCCACTGCTCTCTACTTTGATGAACTGCATCGGTATATAAAGACATCTGAAAATAGCACAAGAAATTAATAATGAACATTTAATCTTTATTCTTACTTATTCTGGATAATTCTGCCTTTAAAAGATAAGTGCCTCTAAAAATATTTAACTTATGAGAATCGTTATTTATGAGTATTACAATAAAACAATACTAAACTCCATTACACATTTAATGTAGTTATTGCACTATTTATTATTTTTCTAGAAGTTTTGTTTATTAAACATTTTTTAAGTGTGTTAATTTTTAAAACCAAATTTTCGCGAAATGTTCAAAATACCAATATTTATTCATCAATATTATTTCTTGTGCCACAATGGAACTGCACTTCAAACTATGGTAGAATATATTTTATGATTACAGTCTTACTTACCATAATTTAAGACCTTATTTTATTCTACCATAATATAATTCAAATGTGATCTCGGGCAAAAAAATGAAACGTAAGAATAATAACTTACGTTTTAAAAAAAAATAATTAAAATTCATATAATTTATATATCAGAATTGGAATAAATGTATTTATTATTGAGTGGGATTATTTTTTATTTTATCTTCGTTATATCTACATAAAAATGGATGTGTTAAAGATTAAAAATAACAAGCTTTTTACTAAGTACATGGACAGAATACTTAATTTATACCCCAAGATTTTCGAACTTTGAGAGTTCACATTTGAAACCGCTGTACTGAATTTGATGCGATTTGAAACATATATTAAAGGCATTAAAACGAATTTAGAAAAAAAACTGCTTGTAGTTAACGCCAGTAGTACACAAATGAGTGAAACTTTAACTGTTTAAAACGCGATATATATTAGTTTAACTTATTTGAAAATTATTTTAACTACGGCCCGACGTTTCGGATGCTTTGCAGCAGCAAGGAAATCTCCCCGTGACTAGAATAGGTAAAACAAGCAAAACCTTAGGTTCTAACAAAAATGGAGCATCAATAAACTTAAGCATAAAGCTGTAAAGAAAAAAAATTAAAAACACTAATTTCATTTGCTAAAAATACCCGTTATTTATTTGAATCGTCACACATTTACAAGCGTAGCCTCTTAAAATACTATAATACATAATAATAAGACACTTAAATACGAAGCACTAGTAAAACTATTTGTCTATATAGATGTTAATAGACGTAGTACCGATGGGAAATACACCTATTGTCTCAATTAATAAGGCTCAAATTAAAAAATTCTAATCAGGATGCTCCAATTTACAGTTTTTGTATTTGTCTCGTTCCCTTGAATGCATTGTACAATTGCTTGGAAAGGGACAAAAGAAATCATCAATAAACAAGTAGATAAGCCACTATATCCCATAATTATTAGTTCTTATAAAAATTATGGGTTAATAGTGTCTATCTTATATCTCCTTCTAGCTATTGACATTATAATTATAACGTGCTAAAAAGGGACAAAACCCAACTCCATACATAATCTATTTGAACCGAAACAAAGATTGACATCAGCGCCATCTATCGCTTTACTAGTACTTCGAATTTAAGTGGATGATGTTGGCATGTTTATTGGCACATGCATGGGCATGGTGGGGGGGCATGGCGGGGGGGCATGGTGAGGGACAAGGTCCGGGGCATGGTGGTGCGCATGGATTGTAGACAGATATGCGTGCGCATCCGCATGCTCTTACGGGGCTTGGTGGGTTTGGCTTGAAGCAAATAACTGGGGCCTGGGGCACAATTAATCTAGGTGGTTGCACGACCAGCGCTGGTGGTTGCGGTGGGCAGACTCTCTGGGGTTGCACCTGGAATGATGATCACTTTAAAATATTACTTATCTTTGATTAGGTAGAAATATCTTGATAGCGGAATATCCACCATTTAGCAGTTATTTATGATACTAAAGATAATGATTTCATTGCAAATATTCTGGGATCACATCTTTTAGCGATCACCTTCATTATTATTTGCTAATTTACAACTTACCCTAATTGGTGGTATCCTTGGTGGCACTACTGGTGGTGGCCTAACAACAATTGGTCGTGGTCTGGGGGGGTATACTGGTGCCGGTCTGACGGTAATTGGTGCTGGAGTGGGTGGTTGTACAGGTGGAGGTTTGACGTATATTGGCGTGGGGGTTGGTGGCTGCACGGGTGCTGGTCTCACGTATATAACGGGAGGGTTTGGAGGTTTCACTGCCCCTGGGCGAACGACGATTGGAGCTGGCCGAGGGAAACGTATTTGGCCAGGCTTCACTAGCACAGACCCTTGAAACCAAAATATAAAAAGACTATCATTTATATGATCACGATGAAGGACTTTATAATAAATGTATTAATTAATTAACTCAATGCTTCGTGAGATAGATTTTCTTCTAATTTAACAGTTATTAAACAATTGATTGAAGATATAAAAACTTTAAAGCGGCATGTAAAATGGACTCCTTGGAAAGCATATGTACTATCTCGGTCTTATAGTGGAAGAGTATGATTATATGTGTGTATATTTAGTTTTGCTATCGATCTTAGACTAAAATATATAAATTCATCTTATAAACTTCACTCTTCTACTATACCCGGGACAGTTTGAAAATCAACGCTGCTGAGTGTGACAAGCATTCAGCAGCACAGCTGAGACTGGTACCGATTGCCATTCTTATCTATTTTATTATCTATCTATCACCGAGTGACTCAATTCAGTAGTAATAAGTTTATTGTACATGTGTTAACAGGACAATAAAAATATTTCGATCTGACAAGACATCTTCTTTTCAAATTGTATTAGTTACAGTTTTTTCATATACAAACTTACCATATGGAGCCTGTCCATACACATAGTTGACACTTGGTTCATTTGGGTTGCATGGTCTGATTTCCACTACATCCTGCTCTTGGCATGGGTCACATGGATTCGGTTGGGGGCACGGGTCACAGGGATCACAGGGATCCGGGATTGGCTGCGGACAGGGGTCACAAGGATCTGGACACGGCTGAGGGCACGGGTCACATGGGCCGGGGCACGGGGGCTGGCAAGGGTCGCACGGGTCCGGTTCGGGGCACGGTGAGGGGCATGGACAGGGGTCACATGGGTACTGAGGGTCCGGAACTGGCTGGGCATATGCCGCGCCGATTAAGAGAACTGGAAATATATAAATGCATAAATTATTACTATAAACTTCTTTTTATGACAGAGGGGTAAACACGGGATCCACGTGATGGCAACTGAAATACATAAGCCATATAACATCCGAACATTTTAGCATGAGATATTCGGAAATCCAAAAACTGAAACCGATTAACTTCACGGCTTTTTCATCTGTGGTTCCTATTCCAATGGTTCCAGTTGTTTATTAGTACATTGCTACCAACAGACCAACAAGCCCGTCAATATTAACTTATATCTTTACACCAAATTCAAATGTAATTTTATCACTTTTAAGGCTATACAATATGTAATTTTACAGCCATCTTAAGAATCTTTGTTAACACTATGTCATGAAGTTACAAGCCATTAATTTCATTAAAAAGTTATAACCCGCTATACAGCTTAGAGTATTAAGCTCTAATCTTGCATAATACGAATTTAAAGCGATTTGGAGGGAAGCCAAGCTTATACGCCATAACACTCATATGTGAAAAGATTTCTTGTCTCGACAAAGGCGCTTAATTTCTTTTGACAATTATGTCTATTTGCAATGTATAGTCTGGTGCAAAATGATCTACTATCTTTTAGATAATATATTAGCGAAGTCTGTAGTTTACTCGAGTAGTACATATTTAAATAAAACTTTTGAAAGTTAAAAGCAAAATATTATTAATTTATTATTAAAACTAATATATGTCGCGTTTTATACCATTTGCAGTGTTTATAGTTTAAAGTGATACAACCTATATATATATATGACAGAACTTTTAATTTACAATTTAATAAATTTGATTTGAAATTTACAAGCTTATAAAGAAAAAACCTACATCGCTTCTCCTCTCTTTTTCGTTATAAGAACACAGTACAAAAACCAATATTTTCTTATGTTTTATGGATAAGTCACAGGCGTTTTATCACAGAAATACACTCTTCACATTTTTAATATTAATCCTAGACCCTGATATAATACATACATCAATTTGTGAGGAAAAAAGTGGATCATAGGGCGAACACATTTCTGTGTCCGTTCCTACAGACTAGCAGTTGACTCGGACTTCTGTGCCCTCTAATGCGATATTTATATATAACATTTGCCGTTTAACGGGTACAGGATTCTACAAAACATAATCCTACTTTAAAAGTCGGCACATAAGGATGAAATGGTGAAAGTTGAAAGCTATTATGTCTTAGCCCTATAGCGAGACTATTTGGCACCCGGCCAATTGATGCCTAACCGTCGCTTTGGCATCGCTTCGACATTGACGGGTTAACTTCGTATAACTTAATTGCTACTTATAACCGGCTGATAAAAGGGTTTATTATTTCAATAAATGATATGTAAATAATATTTATCGTTTTATATAAAATTAGACATTTATTTAAACCTTATTATTTTGTTTCCCATTTAATGCGATTGCTACTCTGTAGATATGATAATAGATATAATAAAATTTTAACCGAAACCCAAAAGTTCGGGTTAAGCTACTGAAATTCTTTTAAATAAAACACTTTAACGGATGCTTTGCAGCAGCCGTGGTCACGTGGTCTCCCCGTGACCACGGCTGCTGCAAAGCATCCGAAACGTCGGGCCGAAGTTAAAAATCATTTTCAAATAAGTTTAACTAAAATATATCGCGTTTTAAACCGTTAAAGTGTTTTATATAAATGTGTACTACTCGCGTAAACTATAGACAGCATCTACTGAAATTCTGTTAAACTGTACTTAAACGACCGTATTCGTTGCAAGTTTACGATCCTACAGTTACAAGTAATTTTAGTTCTATAAAATTAAAAAATCGAAAATATTTTTCGAAAACAATTTTTGACTCGGGCAGGACTTGAACCGGCATCGTAGTAAAGATAGGACTCGGTAGCTCAATTGGTAGAGCAACAGCACGGAACGCTGACGATGCCGGTTCAAATTCTGCCTGAGTCGATTTTTTTTTAAATTTATCTTTGATTTTTAAATTATATAGTGCCATCATGTGCAATAACATGTGAAAAATATCAAACTTTTTAAATTAATTTAAACTATGCGTTAAATATTAACTTGATAGTCATTAAATATAGGCATTAAATTTGTTTAACTTTTTGAACGTTTATAGATACTGTCTATAGTTTACGCGAGTAGTACACATTTAAATAAACCACTTTAATATGTCTCCCCGTGACCACGGCTGCTGCAAAGTATCCGAAACGTCGTGCCGAAGTTAAAAATCATTTTCAAATAAGTTTAACTAATATATCGCGTTTTAAACCGTTAAAGTGTTTTATTTAAACGTTTATAGAGTTTTAAATTCATACATTTATTTGATAAATATTTAAAAATGAAATAATAAAAAATATATCCCGTATATTATTTTTGTATAAGAAATAATAATATTTACCAGAGAACCACACGATCACACCCCGCGCCATGGTCGTCTGATGAGAAACGAATTATTAAACTCAATTTATACCTTAAATATGCGAATTTAAAACAAATATTTAAAACAAAATCAACATCGTGACATAACTATGAACGGTTATGATTGCGAAGAAAACACATTTTTATGTAATACGCTTATTAAATGATAAAAATCTTACACCTTAGTGGCTCAGTGATAAAACAGGGGTAAAAGTATTCTATCGGGAACAAAAGTTAGATCACTCAATAATCAACAGACACTTAATTGTGGCCGCCCCACGCCTAAGGAAAACGCGTTTGTTTCTTCAGACAGAAAAATCTCTATATCAAACTCTCATTTCCTTCGACGAGTATTTGGCGGCCTCGTTAGTTCAATGGTACCAAAGTATGGCTAAGGGTCGTGGCTTCGATCGGCTGGGCTATTTGACCTTCCATCGTGTGAACTTCATACCTGTCTGCTCCCCTCCCCCAACCACCTAGCATTAAAAAAGAAGCAGAATGAAAAATCCCTTCCGTACACGCGTCGCTTATACGATTTATCAAGGCTTGAAGAAATTTCTATATGTATTATTATCTCAATTGAATTATCCTTAATGTAAGTTATGCACGAAAAGTATCGTCTGTAGTTTACGCGAGTAGTACACATTTAAATAAAACACTTTAACGGTTTAAAACGCGATATATTTGAGTTAAACTTATTTAGAAATTATTTTTAACTACGGCCCGACGTTTCGGATGCTTTGCAGCAGCTGTGGTCACGGGGACACTACGGCCCGACGTTTCATAATTTTCAAACAAGGTTAACTGAAATATATCGCATTTTAAACCATTAAAGTGTTTTATTTAAATTAAATCAAGTAGTTCACTTATTTTTAATTGTAACTAGATTTAAGGTAAGTAATTCATATATATACTGAACATATAATATATTATCGATATTGTCACGAACTTTGCTTGATTGTTAGTCCTGATTCTGCTAACACAAACTATAAACACAACTAACGAACTAGTACGTGATTCGACTAAGGTGAAACAATGCTTTGGGAAATACAAAAATGGCATAATATCAGTCAATGACATATATATATAAGTTTAGTTCTTCGAGTTGTTTTTATTATGATAAAAAACAGGAGGAGGAAGATAGACTAGCCTACAGCATGTAAACCGTCTCGACCGAAATCTAAAGCCAAAATACTTTAGATAATCGAAAATCCACAGACTGAAACCGTAACGTGATTAAACTTCACGGCTTTATCTGTGGACGGTGGTTCGTGAGCCCAACGACATTTTGATTTCTACCACATTTAATATGCACATTTCGTCACGAAGTCAAACATGTTACAGAAAAATTATAAATTGATATATCAAATTAAAACCTTGCATCGACTCAGATCGAAGAAATATGCGGTTTTGTGATCATTTATCGAATAATAATGTAATATAATTCATTTAAATATTTTACAATTGCGATATTTTTCGTCTATACTATACTGAAACACCAGTCGCGTCCGTGACGTCATTGGTGTGCAATTGTTCCTGTAAAAGTTCGAATTCGAACAACAATGACGTCACGTCACGCGACGTAGTGTTTTACCGGTATTTTTATGGAAACCAAATAATATCACAATTTCTATGATTATAAGTATCTATGAAGATTAATTCGAAACACTTTCTGAAAATTTGGCCGAAACCCTATTTAAACAATTAAATTTCACACACAAACACTCTGTCTGGATTCGAACCCCAGAAACGAAACTATAGGCCCAAATAGCACGAAAGCGATTCATATATGCTATAACAAATAATTTTTATTTAAATACGCTTTCTACGTTTGTTTAAAATGATAAAATGTGGGTTCAAACAATTAGTGCGGCTAGATTTGAACTTATGACCTAACAATTATTACCTACTACTACTATCAATTGAGCTATAACCTCAACATTTCTTCTGTCTCCCTTCTTTTATATATATATGATATAGCCTTCTTTTATATATAATTACTTGCGCGATGTAGTTACGGTTGAACGCTTACGTTGTATAGTTATATTTCTTAAGACAAACCCTTGTTTAAATAACCTATAATAAAAAATATATAAAATCAGAACTAAACTTCATTGGTCTTACCACTAACTCTTAATCCTGGTTAAGATTAACTAAACTAATTCAGTGTCTGTAATTTAAAGGAGTTTGCAGTAAACATAAAATAAAATACGGATATTTGACGGAGAATGTACATACTAAAAAATAACTTTAAGTTTTCACCATTTAAATTAACATATTGTGAATAAGTTCTTTTAGTAGCTCATGTCAAATTTATAAGACTGAGCATTTACAATAAATAGTTACTCAAAAGAAAAACAACGAAATAAATTCTCGATTCATTTAATTACTATACATAGATAAAATATAAAAGGTACGCTTGCAAACATTCATACAATCAAAAAACATAACGGGCATTTACTGTAAACAACAATCGGAACCAATGTAGACGCCATTTTGAGAGATCATACTTTAAACTGACAAACGCGGTAACGTCATTAAGTGAGAATACAATGACGTTACCACAGATCTAATTTACTGGCATGGGCATGGTAGGGGCTCACAAGGGCATGGTGGGGGAGGGCACGAGTCACAGGAATCGCATGGCGAGGGAGGGCACGTGTCACAGGGGTTGCATGCACCGCACGGGTTGCATGGGTCGCACGGATTGCCTGGATTGTACCCGCCATAGCTGTAACCACCGTTGTAGCTAGAACCGGAAGCGCATCCGCCAGAAACCGATGTGGAACCAGAGTAAGACCCACTAGAACCACCACGTCCTAATACCGATGTTCTGAAGATAATCGATGGTGGTTGAATAGTAGCTGGGGCTGGTGGTCTAACCACGATGGGTGAAGGTGTGATCGGTGGTAGGTGTGGTTGACGAATGGTGATTGATGGTGGTGTTATCGGATGTGGACGCGGTGGTCGCACAACTATCGTTGGTGGCTGTATTGGGCAGAGGGGTTTGGGTCTAACGCAGATGGGTGGTGGGTGTATTGGTGGTAGCGGCTGTGGGCGCACTACAATTGGTGGTGGGGTGATAGGTCTCAACTGCTGCGGCTGAACAGTTATCGCTGGTGGTAAGATGGGTTTGAGTGGAGCAGGGCGGACGAGAATTGGTGGCGGTGTGAGTATCACGTCTGGTTGTGGTTTCACGTAGAAAGTTCCACCTGGAACCTGGATTAACTGGAAACCGAGGTTGCGTAGACGCTCTGCCATTCCTGTACGTCGCACGTCCACTTTCACTGGGCCATCACCACAGGGAGCTGTGGATAAATGTTCGAGGAAAATAAATAATTGGCTCTTGCTAAAAACGGACTATGGGTGTCTGCTATTTTATAGGCACTTACTTGGTTGTCCTCCTTCACATGGGTCAGGGCAAGGATCCGGGCATGGGCAGGGTTCTGGACAAGGCTCAGGACAAGGCTCAGGACATGGTTGAGGACAAGGAGGTGGACACGGGGTAGGGCATGGTGGGGGGAGACAGCATGGAGTTAGAGACAGGCATAGCTGAGGTGTCGGCGCTGCTAAAGTGGAGGCTAGTAAACCTGAAAAAAAGTAATTTGTAATTCAAAGAACAAAACTTTACTCATAAAAAAATATTTATATCCCGAAACCTATTTTAAAATGAATGTTTCTTTTACTAACAAGAGAAGGCAATTTAAATTGAAAAAGGAAAAATTAATTTCCAAGCCCAGTTTAGCTTATTGCGTAAGTGCTAAAGGGATATGGCATAACATAAGCGTGTACTTTATAGTTTAATTTTTAATTTCTTAACTTAATTAATTCTTTGGAGTTTGTTATATAACTTCGTTGTATACTTGTAGGATATTAGGATTTCATAAAAAAATAATTGAATTAATTTTAATGCGGTTTTAAGTAACATCTACATCTTACGGTCATTTTATAACAATATTTATTAAAGTCCACCATCCACTCACCCAATATTCCCAATGCTGTGAGACGCCCCATTTCCAAAGACCTACTGGATATTCCACCACACCACACCTTTAAATAGCATTTATTATCTGGTTTCGTGTAATTGTGGTATTCAACCATTTTATTACAAGTTTGTTGATTTATGCTCTGTGCTTTTGTGTTATTATATGCATAGATATATCTTTATAACTTATATTGAAGACTAGCTGTGCACGCGACTTCGTCCGCGTAGAATAGTTAATAAGATTGTTTTAGCAAACCTCCTGTTCGACTGTTTAAATTTAATCTTTTACTTAGTTAATCTTAAAAGATAGACATATAGCGTCACGGATATTTTTTTTGATCATTTAAAGAGGAATCATTCTCCATACATATTTTTTGGGTATCTTCAACCTTTTTTGCGAAGTACGGCTTGGAAACCCGTAATAATGAATAATTTTCATAATTTTTGTCACATTTCTCGCTGTTTCTTCGCTCCTATTTGTCATAGGAGGATGTTTTATCATATAGCTTTCTTTCGATAAATGTTCTAAGTAACACAAAAAGAATTATTCAATTCGAACTAGTAGTTCCCGAGATTAGCGCGTTCAAACAAACAAACCCTTCAGCTTTATATATTAGTATAGAGATAAATAGATCCATAATATGTTATTCTGTAGGTTCAACCAGGCAAACAAAACTACATTCTTATTATATTAGTACTAAGGAATTTAAGTTACAACGGTTGAGCAAGCATAACTTAAAATTGTTTATATTCAGTGAATATAAAAAAGAAATTTTCTGTGATTTATCAAACATGAACATGGGCATTCGTGGATTGGTGTTTCTTGGTGAGTAATTCTATTGCTAGTTATTTCTTATTGTTTAAAAAAAACACTTTATCGGTTTAAAACGCGATATATATTCGAAAATTATGTTAACTACGGATCGACGATTCGGATGCTTTGCAGCTGCCGTGATCACTTGGAGACCACGGGTGTAGTTGAGCTAGTATATATGACGTTTTAAACCGTTAAAGTGTTTTATTTAAATATGTACTACTCGCGTAAGCGACAGACAGTATTTCTATAGAATAAAATTCACAAACTGTCTGTAGTTTTACATTGTTAAACTTATTTACAAATTATCTGTCTCCCCTCGACTACGGCGGCTGCCGAACAGCCGTAGTTAAATTAATGTGTAATTCATATAAATATCATATTTGTTATATTATAATATATTTCGAGTTTTAAACTGTTAAAGTGTTTTGTTCAAAAGATTTCATTTTTACTAAATGAACAGGTACAACGTGAGCAATAAACTATATCTAATATTAGTTCTTAGTAGAAATAGGTGATTGATTAGTTACTGATAAAAATCAAAAATAAATCCAATAAATTACACAGTGAAGATTTTATCATTATTAATCTAGCCGTTTAGTGTAGGGTAACCTAGAAATATACATTAAATTATATTTAGTTAGGCGCTACATTAAACAACAGAGAAAGTTTCAACAGAGGTTGTTTTTTGAATATATTTTTTTCCATGTCTTTACTACTAAACCGTGCTTAATACGTGTTTCACACTTTTGATCTAACTTTGATGTGTTGCAGTGCTCCTAGCAACAGCAACGGCAGCGCCGTGGCGTTGCTTCAGGACCAACGGTGGGACAGTGTGCTTCGGAGAAGTGGGACAGCCAGTACTATGCCCACCATCGATCAACATAGGGCGAGCATGCCCCCCCTGCACCGGACCGGCCACGATATATACACCACCGTGTCCATGCCCCTGTCAACCACCTTGCCCCCAACCGTGCCCATCGCCGTGCCCATCACCATGCCCTTCGCCATGCCCTGAACCATGTCCATGCGAGTATTAATAAGGGATGAAGTGGGGCAAAAAATAAGAGCAACGTGGATGTGATAAATTGGGAGGGGAGAACATTCGGCAACTCATCATTGGTTCCATAAAATTGTTAAAAAAATTATATCATAAAAGTTTCGATATTGTTTGGGTTATTGCAAAAAATATATATTTTTTGGACTGAGTTATTTTCTTTTATTTTATGCTGAATATTGACGTCCTTAGACTCTGCCGTAAAGTTTTATAACTAACGACAATTATTATTTTATTATAAGATGGCCGATCGAATGGCGCGATTAAATAATAGAGAATATATCCATCAAATTGATTACGAATATACTTATGTAATATTGTGACATACATTAATATTTTGACGGGCCCGTTGGTTCAATGGTAGCGATGTATGGCTAATAAAGGTCGCGTGGGTTCGATCCCCACCGGGTCCAATAAATAATCAATTTATGTTTCTTTCTGAAATATATTGGACTTGGTCTGTAAATTTGGATAACAAATTAGTGGTAGGAATATCGAAACTCCGTCCGGGTCACGAATCCATAGATTAAAAAGCTGTCAAGTATCGCGTATCGGTTTTAGTCTGTGGATTTCCAAATGTCACAAGCCTATTTTGTTTAGATGTTATATGGCCAAGTTCAACTACTATCAAGAGAACCCAACGCCTGTCCACCTCTATCATTAAAAACAAGATAATTAGTAGGTAGTAGAAACTATTATGGGAGCGGCTAATGGTTAAGACGTCCTTAAAACAATTCCCCTTGTCTAAACACTATACTGCACTGGATGTACTGTTATTCGTAGCAAAAAAAAAATATACTAGGTAATGTTTTTTTACACTTCGTCTAGTATACTTATTTATCATTAATATCGAATTATTCTAGCCAAAGGAAATGTTTAACACAAATGCGGGTAGAGGGCTTCCCCTATTTATTTTTTCGTCTTCCCAATTTCTTCTTGACGATGATGTGAATATGAACATGTAGTCAATCCGACCATTTAATTCTCGAAATGAACGCAAACTGTCAATACTATTTACTTATTTATCTATAGTAATATTATAAAGCTGAAGAGTTTGTTTGAACTTTGAACGCGCTAATCACGGGAGCGATTATTTCGAATAGAAAAAAAATATGTTGTTGCTTTATAAATCAAACCAATATCAGCGACGATATTTGCAAAAATAAATAATTATGATGTCCAAAAAATATTTCAAGCGGACCAAGTCGCGGGCACAGCTAGTACCAAATAAAGCTGATATTTCCTATATTTAACGAAAGTAGTAAACCTAAGTGTCATTTATGGGGCATCACTGAAAATCGACGCTGCAACAAATCTGTTATTGCAGCAACAACCCAGTGATGTCTTTCTACAGCAATGTTAATGTATGTAATTAATGTAAACCATTAATTATTTTTTTCTTTTTGATATACATATAATTGTATAAGTCTGAATTTGAATATTCGAATTTCGTATTAAAACAAGCTAAGCACCGAATCCTTTAACTGTTATACCGTTCAGGTATTCCAACCTTCACGAAAAACGACAATATTATGTTTCAAAGTTTATTAAACAATGTACATTTCACATGCCCTAATTGTTGCCAAAAGCTCTTCCTAGTGCATTAAACGGCATTTCTAGAGTTTTAATCGGCAACGACGCTATGCCCGTAACCGCCGGCATGCCGCCTGCGTTATACTGTAGATCATCGTACTGTGAATGACCTTGGATCAAGGTGGAACCTGAAAGCACGTGAATGAAGGTTTAGTAAGATTCTAAAGCTTGTTAATTTTTATTGAATAGTTGAGAGGCAAAACAAATAATAAATTTCATATTAGTTTGACGTTTCAACGTCGCTGTCACACAGGAGTGGCTGTCATTGTCAACTTTAATGACAGCTAGTCTACTAGTGGAACGTAGTGTCTATGGTAGCGGGGCGGCTTTATTTTAGTGTCATCCTACCTGTTTCTAGAAGTATTCATTGAAATTACAGTTCTGCAATTAATAATAGCGAGATATCCATATTGCTTTTCGATCATTTCTACGATTAAGTGTGTTTATTAAAATTATATCGATTATAAAAATCTGTGCTTGATTCTAAACGTTTAAATCCATTTAAAATAATGGACGGAAACAATAAAGGCCTACCTGTGTCTACAAGTTTAATTTTATAATAAACAAGACTTTTGTTTCTCTCTGACATTGTAACAGGCAACAAACGAACGACCACAGATATGTCCGAAGCGAGGAAAACACTCGCTGACAACCGAAATAATAATGGCGCGGTCACAGCTACACAGCTAATCGTTAAAAACTGTTTTTCGCGGCCGCGGATTTGACTGGCTCAGAAACAGCTAAAAACAAACTTTGATGCGGATTATATATCATGCTAAAATCTCTGCTTAATCGGTGCATAACTTCTAGAGTTTTGCGTAAACAAACCAACATAACGTTTTATATAAAATGTAAATAGATTTCGCCAATTGCTTCTATTCCTGCAAATTAGACCGGTACTTCCTGAGAAAAGGACTTCAAGCCTACAAACAATTCCTTTATTTATAACATATTTGTATAAGCTTATAATTCAAACAAAACAATAAGTCTTCGCTTAGTCGAGAAATGCGAAAACTGAAAGCTTTTGAAAATAATCTTTTGTTTCATGTAAATGTCTTTATTAAGAACTTCTTTTTGAGAATTGTGCAACAAATATTATAAACAAGTGGTCTATTGAGACGTTACTATAAAATGTTTATACAATATCGTAAAGTAATATAAAATAACGTACCAATTATGAAAAATAATATTTTGAACAGAATCATTTTGCCATAAAAATGTGACTAAGACGAACCGAAAACAAACGCCATTTTTTATATTTATGTTGAAATAATATTTACATTAAAAATTCACGTTTGAACGCTTGATTTAATTTCATTAAAATATTTTTCATCTTTATCATTGTATAGATTCTGGCGTAGTTCGTATTATAAATATTCAGCAATTTTAAACATATACCTAATGCAAGACGTTTTTTAGTATTTCGTGTTATGATATAGGAGAGGAAATTACCCAGCAATATAACATGTCAACCAGATGTGCTGTCAATCTATTTTGCCTTTGGATATCCGGAAGTCTACAGACTGATACTGAAACGCGAATAAACTTGACGGCTATTCCATTTCTGGGCGGTGGTTAAGTAACCAGGACATAATTTCGATATTCCAACATGGTTCAGAAAAGTTATTAATTGATAAGAGACATGTTTGACTTATGGGGATCGAACCCGCGACCAATTGTTAGCCCTATATTGCTACCGTTACACTAAAGAGCCCGTATTTAGTTTTGTAATATTATTAAAGTTTCTTATTCGAAAACAAGACAATATATGATAATATGTTATTTGAATATTATCAAAATTGCTTTATCCGTTCGGCGTAAAAACCACGTATTTTCACAGTTCACGCAGTTTTATTATACTTATGTCTATCGTATATATACTAGCCCAGTTGAAAAACGTACGCTTGGTAAGACTGTAAGAAAATGGCCGCCTCTCGGTTTAAACTTGGAAACATCGAGTCTCAAAGTTTAAACTTAAAAGTTATATCTAAGAAACTGTCAAAGTCCCTAGCACCAAATCGAACTTAGGAGATTTGATTTGGTGGAAACTTTTTAAGAAGACTTCTAGAATTATCCCGTTTTACGTCAAACACATTGAACCGTGACTTTTTAACTGGGTTTTAAAATGTTTTGCCTTGTTGGCCTTATGAAGCAGTCGTACTCGAGGATCGGGGTTCAAATCCTCAGGCAGTAATTTCATTATCTAATACCAGCCCATATGTATTTTTGTGAAGTTATGAAATGAAAGGACGAGATTTAATTAAATGATCAAGCTGTATCTATATATTGCGTCATAGTTTTACAACGAACCGTATGCAAGAGAGCGGGAAAACAAAAGCATAAAGATATTACAGACTGCCAACATAAGACAAAAAGTAAACAATCAACATTAAATCAATGTATGGACATTGCACAGATAATCTAACATTTTGTGGGTAAGTCCAACCATTTTCGCGGCGCACACAACGGAGGCCCATAAAGATAAATAATTTTTCCCTTTTTTTTCAGCGGTTGCAGCGCGATGTGAAGAACTAGTGATCCTGAGATTAGTGCGATCAAACAAACAAACAAATTCTTCAGCTTTTTAATATTAGTATAGATTGGATTAACCATGAACCTAGTGATAGATAGACACACTTTGCCGAATACGATCCATTATTTTTATAAATTTTGGATATACTCGAGCAATATCGCGCGATACCTAATTCAGCTGCAATACGGCTTGCAGATGATTTGTAGTCAATGAAATCTAACACCGATAAAAGAGCGGTACCCAGCACGTAATACCTCAACATCAAGAGGAACTGATGTAAAGGCGATACCCCAATATTCCTTAACAGTAAAAAATCTTTTTAAATAGTCTTAAATAAATACTGTCTATAGTTTACGCGAGTAGTACACATTTAAATAAAACACATTAACGTGGTCGTGGCCATGGTCACGGGGAGACCCGTCTCTCCGTGACCACGGCTGTTGCAAAGCATCCGAAACGTCGGGCCGAAGTTAAAAATCATTTTCAAATAAGTTTAACTAATATATCGCGTTTTAAACCGTTAAAGTGTTTTTAAGTCTTAAATATACAACAATTAACTTGACTTCAAAAATATCAGCGTCACTTTCATCACTAAACAATTCCATTTTTTCCTTACGTTCAATTAAAAAAAAACAACGCAAGAAATATTCAGAAGGTATTAGGTAACGCCTGTAAGCCATTTGCAATCTTTCGAAAATCCCTCAAAATCGGCGGGTAGCCAAATCTGTCACAGTTTGTCACCATTGTAAACATTATTGTTATCAGTCAAAGTGTTATTGAAACGCAGAAGTTATTTTTTGTATGAAGTTACCTATCAATGATAAGAAGATGTCCCTCACAACAGTCACTTGCAACCAATTGTTGTAATGTCAATTTATCTGTGAATATTGGAACGCAAAACTTCAAGAATTTTAACCGTCACTTACGATCGTCACTTCTAGTTAATTGTTAGTTGAATATTGGGACCGGCCATTAAAGTCTTTCTCTAATGCTCTGACCAACTTAAAATTGGTTGATTGATGGAAATAATTTTTCAATTCGAACCAGTTCTTGAGATTAGCGCGTTCAAAGAAACATACTCTTCAACATTATAATATGTATTATAGATATTATGTGGTACCCACGACGGCATTCGCGTCCTGACGTTGTTGCGAGTTAATATTTTGTTTTGGCGAACTAAAGGGAAAATTCTCTCATGCATGGTTTGAATAATTTTCCATTTTTTTTCTTGTGTTCAAGTGTGCTATTGGTCGCAGCCTAAAGTCTTTCCGTCTGATAGTCTATCCAACAAAAAAATATACGGAGAATTCCGTTTGTTTTTCTTTTGTTTATAAATGTGAGCCGTAAAAATATCGTCCCCATGTTGGACTTCCTGTAACTCATTTCAGAGGTAACTAATATTTATGTACTTAGTTCGAATAGTTTTCGCCTAATAAAGCCGAGTTCAGACTAGCGTGTGGTAATGATGAAAGTTTTAGATTGTAACACTGACAGTTGATTGAAACTTATATTAGGGCATATGTTTCTAACTTTTATTGTATATTATACTGGCTGTGGCTGCGACTTCGTCTACGTAGAATAGTTCCTACTTACTCATAATTGCAAATTTTAGCTATTACCCACGACGTCGTCCGCGTCCCGTTGTTCTTAAAATATCTTGAACCGTTTACGCAGCGTACGCAACAGCGGATACTTTTCCCCGTGTCTTCCAAATTTCCCTTTGTATCTTCGCTCTCGCATCGTGATGTCTTATAGCTTAAGCCCTAAAGCCATCAACGATAAATTCTCTAATCAGCACAAAAAGTATGTTTCAATTTCATTCAGTATTTCCTGAGATTAGCGCGCTCAAACAAACAAACTCTTCAGCTTTATATATTAGTGTATATTACGGTTTTAATTGCAGTATGATCCCGTTTCTACATATTCTTTATAGTTTTGTATTGTTATAGGGAGTGGTGTATTCGTTATACACATTATTATTGTCATAAAGAAAGTGTCTCGTATATTTTAAGTATAATGAAATAAATAAATATATACTTAACCATATTTTTTTTCCGTATTCGAACCCTGCCTGTGAAAGTTAACGCTAGCAAGGAGGCACTTAACCTAAAACCATTGAAATAATTAATTGAGACTGGCAACTTCTAAATGACAGCACTTCCATAGAAATTGCACTCGGTGTTGCCATTCAAAGAAATCTTTAAAAATCACTGAATGCCTTAAGTTTTTAATTAGAAAGTTTCCTTTAGTGAATGTGCGAGTTATCGAAAATTTTAAAATTCATTTTTACCATATAAATGGGCAGTCTATAGTATTAAATGTCGTTTTAAGAATTTTAAAATTATATCAATTTATACATTTTAAGTTGAAAAGTGTAAATTGAATAATATTCAACTTATATTTATTTTATTTATTTAACTTATTAACATTTACAATTCTTATTAATGTTAATAAAAACGGTGTATGTTTTCAGTACTTTAGAACGTCCATAAAAATTCATTAAAAACAAAAATTAAGTTGGTAGCTTTGATCTTTTGTTTCAATTTTATGCGTAAGCGATTTAAAAAATAATCGGTTGACAAATAACAGAAATGTTCTGTAGAAAATATTTCACGTTTTTACTGAATAAATGTTCATCGTTGGAACGACATATCTGTCTTGTCGAATAGATGCGATGTTTTGAGGCATTTAAAAAATGTCGCAACTGTCTTGTTTGCACTGTGGACAAAGTCACGAGAGCATCAGCGCAATAATATCTCACGCGACGTCGGCAAAAACATGATAAAGTATCCCGAAAGTGCTTTCAGCTTTTTTTCGAACATCTAAGTGATGATAATGCTACTGGTTAAGATAACGACGATGTCATAATTTATCATCGACCATTAACAATTTTCATTACTGGGACTGGGACTGGGACAAATCCTGGCATTTACATTTAACCCACCACGCTGAACAAAATAGCAAGTTCTCTAAATTATTTCTAGAACATGCTAATTGTTTTAACGGTTTAAATCGCTATATATGATGTAACACTTTTCAAAATAACTTCACTTATA